CTTGGGGCAAACGCCGCCAACCAAGGATGGTAATATAAGTGTACATTTAACCGTTTGTGAACAAATTACATTAAATCAGTATCATATGGTAAGTAAATTAAACAAGTTTAAAGTGACGATATGAGTATTCCAATCCAAGTTTTCTTTGTAATTCTCTGTCAATGGAGGTGTACAATTCGGAAGGACATTTGTGTATATATTTTGGTTGATGTGTTATTAAGCCATAAAGTCACTGACTGTTGACCAGAACCACGTCGACATGCGCAGATTACTTGATTGAGATAAACACCGATATCGTATTCAATGATTTAAGACGTTAATTGACATGACTCAGAATCGGCATTAATGACTCAGACTCGCTAACTTTTTGTCCTCCTTTAGATCCGGCATTTCAAAATTATCTTATACATTTTTTTCACACAAATTCATATTTTCTTGAACTATATCATCTGCGTCTAATGTTTTCTACTATTCTGGGACCTCTTTGTATCCATGTGATGTGATAACTTGAACCGATGAGCGTATAAGCTAGTTTCTAATCTGTTGAAGGCTGACATGTAAGTAGTTTTTCTCGCTCCAACTATCTCTACTAAATGGGAAACAGACTAGTATAACCGATCCTTAAATAAACAATGTGGTTCGAAGAATATATAAACCTGTACTTGATAAACGCATTACTGAGAAAGAATTGAAGACATTCAGCTGAAAAGATCTTCTTTCATGCAGTATCATTACCGAGACTGTACAACCGCATCTTTAGTGACTTAACAAAAAAGTTATGTAACAATTTGAAAGTGAAAGAAATATGACAAATTGATGATAATTTGCAGATCAGAAGTAAGAGAGATAATTATCGCTTTGACGGGTTAGAAAAAAACCTGAAAAACAGGAAGGTGATAATTACAACTAAATAATAATTATGAGAACTTATAAAAGGATAATCATAATTAATTATTGATTTTAAAAATGTCAATACTAAGGAACAATGGAGGAGTTTGTATGTGGTTCATTCTCACATATAATTCATTTATTTATTTTATTTAAACACATAAATATTGGTAAAAAGGGGCACCAGATATATAGCGCCACACAACTCTCAGTTGATTTGTGTGAGGGCTGTGATACTGACCAGGTGCCCTAACTGAAGCAGGTGGTTCTCTTAGGGAGCCACAACCGGAGCCTTCGACCTAAAGATCTCATCCACAAGGCAGTGGAGCAATGCAAGGAGATGCAGTCTCATGGTAGCCGGTGACCAACAATTGATTCATACGCCCTTTGTTCCTTCAGGATACTAGAGCCCATATGCACCATTGGTTTGGAATCAGGGTTTTGTAACTCCCTTAGGTGGAATCGACGTGTCCACCAACCCGGTTAATGCACCGGACATTCACTTTTCCCTCTCATTTTCGTAAAGCTCAGTAATGCCACGAGGTGGTGAGTAGGATTTCCCTTACAGAGACTATATACGTGTGGCCATGTGAGAGCATTTCGAGATGAAGAGATGACTCTGTCCACTCTCGGCCGGCTGAGGGCATTTGAGGACTTACCAGGGCATTCAAGTCTAAACTGTATATATATTTATGATCCTCTGTTCATCAGGTTTACAAAATAATGAAATATGCATACTGGTTTCTTCTACCTATATATACTCAAATTCTTCATACAACAATGAAAAAAGCAGACAAAAAAACTAAGCAAATACAAAAAATACCAAGAATAATTATATTTTCGAACAGAAAAACACGATGAGGATAATTACTACAATAGAAAATCAGTCATAGTCATGGAACAAAACCATATTCATATAACTACTAAGTGTACTACAGGGTTGTTACTGTTTATTCGTATTTAAGAAAAGCCCAATATCTAAATGAATAAATTCAGTTAGTATTATTATTAGTCATTATTCAACTGATAACTGATATAATAATGTAATTTATCATTCTGTTGTAATAATGTATTCCATATATTACTGATGACGTATTGATAATCAGATATTAGTCACACAAAAAAAACATAACTTAATTAGAATAAATACATTAACTGCATGTCATTAATTAGTATTACTGATGTATATAGGTGTATATAGGTATGTAAAAGATTATAGCTTGGTATTCTGTTCCTGGTATTCCTGGTACAAACAAAACACAACTACTGTTGTGTTTGTTTTTTTTACATCAAAATAGAAAATACAATCTAAGTTAATTAATCATCATCATAATTAGTGGAAATAATGATAAATCAAATCAAACCTTAAAATGCCATGAATTATTTTCTTTTTCAACATAATCATCTATCATCATTTCAGACGCCTTAAAATGTGGACTGAATGAAACTAGTAACCAATTAGTGTAACTTCATTCCGGACGAAATGATGTGATAATTTAAAGACATTGATTATTAATAATGATTGTATTGTTCATCTTTTTATTTCAATAGAGAAAAGGTCATTAATGAAGAAGTAAACGTATCGACAAATTTTTATTAGATAATGAGGTTGAGTGAAGGAAAACATCAGACTTTAATAATTTTGATGTAGTGCTTATTTAATTTACTATGCTGAAGTTCAGTCGACATGCCAAGTATATATATATGACCTCGAATTTTCTTACATGGGTGCAAAGTCAATCATGATTGACATTAGTGTTAACTAAAATTATATATTTCCACCCGTAACTTTATAATGGTTTGAACTTGTCTTATTTATTAAGGAAAAGGGGTTGATAAATAAAGCATGAATGTTTCATTTTTACCATTTATACAAATTAAACAGTTTTCTTGCATAATTCTAATTTTTATGGAAAGGGAACCAACAGTAAATCTGTATATTGAAATATTTCACCATATAAGCAAAGATGGATAGTGGTTAGCAGTGGAATCCAGTTTGACGCACGTTTCGTTCTATTTGGGACTCGTCAGCTGGATGTGCCTGCATCTCAGAGTCGATGTTCACTCTGGGACTCGAACTCAGTACCTTTCGCTTCAAACGCCATCGTGTTATCCACTTGGCCACTGAGTCCTGATAGTCACTTGCTTGTACAATGGAGTAAAGTTTAAATTCACTGAGCATTGTTTGTTTGAATCATCAATGAGAAAATCCAAACAAACAATACTAAGTGAATTTAAATTTCACCATATAATTTGCGTAAGTTTTGAGTGAAGCAGTGATTATGAGAAATTCTTTCTTTTTCAATTTAGGAGTCCTGCAATAGGACGAAACGGCCGTCCAGTGCTTTCAGGTTTTCCACGGTGGTCTAGCTTCAATTGAATCATGATTTCAACTTTATATATAAATTATAACAATATTGTTTTTTTGAGGGATCTGTAGAATTGATTTTAATTCAACTGGATAATAAATAAAAATTTGGAAACCAGTGAATCGAGGTTTCGTCTAACACTGGAGTCTGATCAAGTAACTTCAGGTTTCATTGTGTTTATATTCCGACTGACCAGATTATTATTATTATTGGCTTTATTCAATATTATATTTTTGGTACCATATATAGAATTCTTAGAACAAAGTATTTCAACGACTTTCCGTTTCTTATTTCAATGGATATTGCTCTGATTGTGCTATTTCCTAACTTGTACAGCGAAATGCCGTAAACTTTTCACAAACACACTTGAATAGGTTGTGCAATTTATAGAGATAATGATCTGTTGAAACAAACAAAAGACAGATAACTTGTTGAAATATCTAGATGGCAGGAACTGGTAGCCCAGATATTCAAGCAGGCCAAAATTCAGTGGTCTGGATTTTCAACCTAAAATATTCATTACATACTGCGACCATCCAGTACTGTCTCACTACAGACATCGTTAAAGTCCATTATTCAAACTTTTTGGATAGAACATTTGGAATCCATATGAAAGTCTGTGACTAATGATCAAAGAATTATAGGTTATCTGTGTAGTTTATGGAGATTATATCAATTTGAAAGTTTTCATCACTAAATGTCCTCCGTTGGAAGATCTTTTAGTTTCCTTCACGACACAAACAGTAGGTCGAAATTGTGAAACTTACAGAGTATTGATTCACGTACTCGACTTCGAGTTACATTTTATGCGCGAAAGCTAATAATACTTCTCAGATGCTTAAACCAACGTAATTGGAGCTGAAGGCGAAAATGCAAACTAATGGTTGAAATTCACGTCTTAACCACTAACCTGCCTTCCATTACAGCCTGAAGCAAAGAGAGTTCAAAATCTCTCAGAAAATAAATTACCTCCATATCACCGTTTAACACATTTAAAATTATCAGAAGGGGGTTTTGTGGAGATTTTAGTAATTTTATATAGTTGAGATCATGAGTCAATTCAAGCTAGACCACCATGGAAAACCTGGAAGCATCGGACGGTCGTTTCATCCTATTGTGGGGCTTCTCATTCACGATCCCGCCTCGCGAGATTCGAACCCAGAACTTATCAGTCTCACGCCGGAGCACTCAACCACTAGACCACTGAGTCGGTATACAACGGTGTTAATGTCTAACTTCAACCGATCCACGAAATTGAGCGACACACATACGACAAAACGGCCGTCCAGTGCTTCAGGTTTTCCATGGTGGTCTAGCTTCAATGGACTCATGATCTCAACTATATAACATTTAAAATTGTCTAAAGTATTTACAAAGACAGAATCACATTGCTTATTAAGCTCTTTAGCAATAATCTTATAACAAATTTCATACATGATACTTTCCATTAACTACAGATTAATTCGTTATAAAATCTTTTCCGTTTAAATCCCCTTCAAATTTTATTTCAATATACGTAATTATTCAATTTGATTAATTGCGCTTATTTTAAAATCCAGTATTTATTGAATATGTACATTTTTCTTTTCTTTTTTCACCTATCAACTTGTCATTTATTCATTTCTATTCTTTAACAATGTTATCAAGTTAATTAGAATTATCGATTAAGTAATAATGAAGAGACAAAGAAAACAAAATAAATTATCTAAATTAGATTGATTGAAGAAAGTAGTATGTTTTCTTTTAGCAACATGATTGTGACGACAATGATGATGATGATGATGATGATGATGATGATGATGATGATGATGATGATGATGATGATGATGATGATGATGATGATGATGATGATGATGATGATGATGATGATGATGATGATGATGATGATGATGATGATGATGATGATGATGATGATGATGATGATGATGATGATGATGATGATGATGATGATGATGATGATGATGATGATGATGATGATGATGATGATGATGATGATGATGATGATGATGATGATGATGATGATGATGATGATGATGATGATGATGATGATGATGATGATGATGATGATGATGATGATGATGATGATGATGATGATGATGATGATGATGATGATGATGATGATGATGATGATGATGATGATGATGATGATGATGATGATGATGATGATGATGATGATGATGACTGTTTACTTCATTCACTTAAACCAAGCTACTTAACAACTCAAGTTTATTTTTTTCTTTTCAGCCATTCTACTTGTAACACATATTACTTACAGGCATACACATGTACATATGGATTAAGTGTATATATATACACATCTAATTTATATGCTATTCATTTGATGATATTAATTGTTATGTTTTGATTTTCGTGTTATGGTAAACCAAATATGAAAGTGTGGTTAGATAAATATATACAAGGATATTGATGAACAAATGAATGAATGAACGAATGAATGAATAAATGAATACAATATGTGAATCAACTCACTCTTCTCACAGCATTATTATGTATATACACATAATATTATGATTACCATATTCAATGAATTCATTTATATTATTTCACTGATTTATAATAGAAATGAAATAAGTCAACAAAGTATATCTATGTATAAACGTGTGATAACTTTAATTGTGATAGGTAGTTGAATTTGTAAATGAATAGAGAACAAAGTGATAGAAGAGTAAGGGACACAGATAGAGAGAGAGAAATGGAGAATCAACAAAAATAATTGATTTCAGTAAGACTAGAACAAAAACAGTAGTGGCAAGCATTTCATCTAATGATAATGATGATGATAATAATAATAATACGCGTCTCATGGGTTCAATTGTTTTATTGATCTACTCATATAAATAACAACAGTGTGTATATGATCATATTACAGTTATGATTTCATAATAGCTTCTCTAAACCATAACTTAGAATGAATTCTTACTATATAAACACCGAGTATTTCTGTATATAGTAATAGTAATAATAATAATATAGTTGAGATCATGAGTCAATTGAAGCTAGACCACCATGGAAAACCTGGAAACACCGGACGGCCGTTTCATTCTATTTTAGGATAGGTCCTGGGTTCGAATCTCGCGAGGTGGGATGGTGTATGCGCACTGCTGAGAAGTTCCACAATAGGACAAAACGGCCGTCTAGTGCTTCCAGGTTTTCCATGATGGTCTAGCTTCAATTGACTCATGATCTCAACTATATAAAATTACTAAAATCTCCACAAAACCCCCTTCTGATAATAATAATAATAATAGTTTGAACTAGTAGTAAATATCAAGACTGAAGTACCTAGTCATTTTTTCACATGAAAGATATCGGAGTCATAAAATATTGACATTTGAAAATTACTATGATGAATATCGTATGTATCTGTGATTTGTTAGCGTTATTTTGAAGTGGTAATAAGTAGATAACAACCATTTTGAAAAAAAAAGTTGAATAAAGATGTTCTTAGCTTGTTTTTATCTGAAGTGGAATCTGTTCAATGTTTAAACAACTATTCAAGTACATACTTAAGAACATGGAATATTTTAAAAAAAACATTCATCTTTATGAATGGAATAATTGGACTACTTAACAAAAAAGGCGTGACATTAGGATAATTCATTGTCACTAAACAATGTAAACTAGTAACTAAAGTTAATCATGTATGGTCAAATGTTAATACAATAGGTCATCAGGTCAATGATTAAATAGTATGATGAAAAAATGAATCCATCAATCTAATGTTTGTAGATGAAAATTTAGTAATCTGGTTCATATTATTTATAATAATAAATCGGATCTGTTGTGAGATAGTAACTCACTGAAGACAATGGTGGACGGTGGCGTAATTTCGTGGATTGGTCGAAATTGGACATAAACACCGTTGGATGCCATCTCAGTGGTCTAGATGTTAAGTGTTCGCGCTTGAGACCAATAGGTCCTGAGTTCAAATCCTGTGGGCGGGGTTGTGGATGGACACAGCTGAAGTTTCTCATACTAGGACGATGAATATACATGATGATCAAGATATGAATGAAACTTTAAGTTGTTTCATCGTAATTCAAAAATCGACATTTGAGTAATACGTAACATAGAATTGAGTGCTTTGATTAACTACTGTTGTTTATCTACCAAGATTTATACACAAATCTTTTAGCTATGTTGTTTGTATGAGAACAAGAAATGACCAGTATCTCAAACTGGAGTCGGTGAAGTGAAACTGAAACCTTCCACTGAAATACCATCATACTAGTGACTTAAATATGCTGCGATAATACATATCGCATTAAGCGGATACGCCATATCATCCTGAATTAAGTACTATCAACATCATGAATGAACTTTAGATCATTACTATCTTAACTGCACAATAGTTACAACATCACCATAGTAACCCTTTTAGCTTGAATTTATAAGATTTATAAGAAAACTAAGTTCATCATATTGACATATGATGAACTTAGTTTTGCATGTTCAATGCAGAAGTTCCACTCAGATCATATTATTCCGTCTACTAATAATTCGAAGACAAACATTCAGTATTACAATTTCATAGTTTATAAATTAGATTTTACAGCATGAGAACCAAAATTCATAACAATATTTTTTATAGTAGGAAATAGAATAGAAAGTATAACATGGTTAACCACCATCATAGTCTAAAACGTATCATTGTGATGAATAGAAGTCAGTCAAATCAATGTCTATCCATAGGTTCATAACAAGTTCATAGTGTCTTTTATCTAAATATAAACAAAATCAGTGACCCTTTTGAAAGTTCAAGTTTCTTAAAACAAATAATATCCTAACTAATTGTTACATCTAACTACCATCATATATATTAGGAAATATACCACTTGACCTTTATAGTTTAATAATTTGAGATATCATTCTTTAGATGTTATGTAATCATAACATTGTATGGCAGATGAATCTAATGTTTACAAAGAAGTGATGGAATTATCGATTATTTTTTCCCTTAAATCAATTTGTCCACATATTAGAACGATAATTAAATCAGAACTACTCTCTAGTTCTATAGATAAAGTAACATATAAGAGACAATATTCATATCATAGTTCCAACTTACATTTTTTTATTATAATTACTAGTAAGCATAGCCTCATATATTATGTGCCATATTCCTCTCAACGTTATCCCTTTCGATTTCATTTCCAATATACAATCTTGACTTAACTGTATGGATTAGCGATAATGATTTGTTTTATTCTGTAGATCTTATTATTCTCTCCTTGTTCAAATATATTAAGGGAAACAAAAGTATGAAATTCTTGGAAATTGTTTTGAAAAATCTATGTACGAAAAGATAGACAGCAGTCAATGAATGATAATGCTTATATGTACAATCAATAAAAGTACAGCTCTGATTTATTGTATATTAATACTTATCACCTTAAATGTACAAGACCAAAATATATATGAGAAAATTTACTTTTGTCTGACTAACAGTCAACGTTCGAATAGCTCAACAGTAACTCTTAAACTTTGAAACTAAATGACTCAGGTTTGAATCACAAAGGAGCATAGGTTCCTTGAAGTTTGTTCGTACAGTCAGCACGAAACTTATATATAGAGTTTCTTTCGGAACAATTCCAACCAAATAACATTTAGCAGACAGGTTTTTGTGGTGAACAGTTTGAGATACTAATGTATTATCATTAGTAATATGTACAGTGGAAGGCAGGTACATCTAACTGAAGAGTCAAATTAAGACAAAACTAACACCTTGTTTTCTACTGTTAGTCAAAATCTATCTCCTCTAAATAAGTCATCTTAGTTCAATAGATCCATCTATTTTATCAAATCTTGTTTATTTATTTATTTAAACACATAAATATTGGTACAAAAAGAACCAGATAAATATGCGCCACACAAATCTCATTTGATTTATGTGAGGGCTGAGATACTGACCAGGTGCCCAAACCGAAGCAGGTGGTTTTCTTAGGGAGCCACACCCGAAGCCTTCGACCTAAAGGTCTGATCCACAAGGCAGTGGAGCATCGTGAGATACAGTCATATGGTAGTCGGTGACCAACGATTGATTCATACTCCATTTGTTCCCTCAGGATACTGGAGTCCATGTGCACCATTGGTTTGGAATCAGGGTTTGCCAACTCCCCTAGTTGGATCCTCCACATCCACCAACACGGTTAAAGCGCCGGACATTCGCTTTTCGTCCTCTCACTTTTGTAAACAACACCCCCGCCACGAGAAGGCAGTGAATAGGACTTCCCTGGAAGAGGTTTTATACGCGTGGCCATGTGAGAGCACTTTGTGAGGGAGAGCGTACTCTCCCCACTCTCGACCGTACCATGGCATTTGGGGACAGTAACTAAAATCGATAATTAAAACTACTATATAAACACTTTCTTTTTTTCCCTTCTCCCTCATAAATTTTTTATTTATATCAGGTTATTATTTGTCATTCTCAATTCAAGTAGATGAATAGTTAACGAGATAAAAGTAAAAATTGAATTCACCGAATTTTATGTATATAATAAAAAGATATATATAACTACATCAAATTCATGATATACAAACATTAATAAATAATCTATTCTATTCGAAAAGAAAAGTATATAAATGTCAAACTTTTCACAATTTTCAACACAATCTATTTCTCATTATAAGATAAAACTAAATATGGTCAATATGATATGATACCTAGTAGAATGGAGTAAATTATAACCATAAGAAAAGATGAATCATATATATGCTTGTCGTCTTCACTTCATTTCTTCCCCCCCCCCGCATAAGTAAGTACCTTTTCTTTCCATGTTCTATTAATCACTTACTTGTACTTCTAACAGTATTTATTTTTTTTTGCGTGAAATAACAAAAGATAACATCTTAGTGTGTATATCATAAATCGTCAATGTGAAAATGAAGAATGTATAAAAGAAAACTAAGGGAGATAAGGGATACAATCTGTTATTCTGTTCGTTTTTTTTTTGTTACTTACGTTTATTCCCGTTCTGTATTTGGTTGATTTCATTTAAGAAACTGTAAAATAGACTTAGTCATTAACATATTTAAACTTAAAACATTTGGTGGCATATACGTGTTATACTTATCAAATATTGGTTTACGTAGATGGATAGAATCGTTAACTTTCATAAAACAATATAACTTATATTAGAGTACACGTGTCTCTACTTAGTTATCGAGTTCCACTACTATTTTTTGAAGGAAACATTTATTTTCATGAGGTTGATTGTAGTGATCAGTTCAATAATAGTTTCATCAGATAAGTAGTTGAAAACTAGGGAACAGTACTGGATGTATGTTTCAAACATATTGTGCACAGATTATTGTTTTTAACTTAAATATAAACAGATTACTTAGTAATACAAATTTATTGAAATCATGAACCAATCTAAGTTAAACAATCGTTAAAAAGTAATGGATGACTTTTCAGTCCTAGTATGAAACTCCTCGGAAGTAAGTATCCACGACTCTGTACGAGACAATCGAATCCAGGACTTCAGTCTTGTGTGAAAGCTCCTAATCTGTAGACCACTAAGCCAGCACCAGACGGCTTTAATTTATAACTTTATCCCAATATTACGACATTAGAATTTATATACAATTAATTACTAATTATTCGATTATCACTTTTAAAGCTGATATTTTAGTGAAATTGATTAGCTAACGAATAACACTACACATACACATGCACACTGTCACATATAATTAATATACAAATATTATTCATTAACTTTGACTTTATTAGAAACTTTTAAAAGTTTCAGGTTTTTGTCCATGACTATGAATCCTGCTTTGCACACAACAGTCAAATTTCAAGAACGATATAATCGATCAGTGCTACTTTCATAAACGCAATCGAAAAAACCATCTTCACCATACTTATATACTCAGAATAGAGCAGAAATCGACGAATGAATAAAAAAGAAACTTGGATGACTGCCTATAGAGTATATAAATTCTTAGAACTGTGTGATATATTAGCGCAATACATTTCGAACAATCTAATATATCACATAATTTTAATCATTTTCGTCTTCTTATTACACAATCGACATTTATCAAAGGGACTAATTACTTTATAAAGATTCTGTTTAATACTGTCATCCAGGTCACGTGTTTCGTTCTATTAGTGACTTGTCAGATGGGTATACTTGTATTCGTGTAAATATTCACATCGGGACCCGGATCTCGTGCATTTCGTTCTAAAATCTAATGTATTATCTACTCCACTACTGATTGTAAATAGTTATTAAATTTACCAACAAGCATTAAATATATAACATTAATAGTAAAGGTTAGTCTATTTGCATCGAGTACGAATTTTCTTGATATATATTAAATGTTTACAAAGTGGTGATTTCACAGTGTACTTCAAAATAAATCTTTTCCTTTAGTATTATTTGTTTGAATCTTCCCATTGATGTTTAGGACTGCAACTGGTAAGGTAGTGGGTTCGAGTCCCAGAGTGAACATCAACTCTGAGATGCAGGTACATCCAGCTGACAAGTCCTAAATAGGACGAAACGCACGCCCTGGATTCCACTGCTAGCCACTATCCATCTTATAAATCTTTTCATTGTTTTTAAATAATTTTATATATATTATTCTTAATCACTATATTCAATCATTCTATTACTTATCAATTTTTCTATTTATTAAAAAGGGCGTCTAATCATTGCTTGTGCAAGTGTGCTAAAGTATGTGTGTATGTGAATATTCTTGTGTGCAAACCTCATCAATTTAACTACACGCAACAAAAACTCTTAAACAGTGGAACAATTTGATATATATATATATATATATATATATATATATATATATATCAGTACATTTTGAGGAACCACTACAAAAAAATTATTACAAAAACATAATCACCTTTACACACAATCACAATTACTACTGATCTATTGAAATAGACATTTATTGATTACTTGCCGTACTTACATTAAAAAAAACCATTGAAAGAAAAGAGTACTTGAAGCAAGTGAACAACAGAAAGAAACCATATAAATATTTCTCTTTCATTATATTTAATAAATAAATTTAGAAAAATATTCATTGTATGCATTATGATATGATGCATATCAACTACTACTTATTTACACAAGAGATTGAGTTGTATTAGTAAGAGGAGGAGGAAGGAGGAAGGAGGAGGAGATAGAGAGAATAATAATTTACAAGAAAGAAGCCTATATACATATATAGCGGAGAGGAATCAAAGAAAATCCAATTGAAACTAGCTCATGATGACTTGACATTTTAAAAATGAGTTTATTTCAATAAGTTAATTAAGTATTTATGTATGTTCACTCTTAATTAATATTATGATAACTAGTATCACTGATACAAAAGATTTTTAGTGATGGTAAGAGGTGAATGACAAATAAAAGGTCTGATCGTTATTGATTTACCTTAGAACAATGAAAGCAAATAAATAGTATGAATGTGATCGTTATGTATATATGCATAAAGTTAGGAAACACTATAAAAATTTGAATATAAACTGTTCAAGAAACTTTATTTATTTTTAGAAATTCTGGGTATACCAGTCTTATTGCTACTAGTGACAAAATGGTTGTCCATATAACTAAGAATAAGAACATGTATTTATATTGTGATACCAGTTTCGTATATTCTGATAAGAAACAAGGTTACGAATGTTGATTCACTTCTGCAAGAGGTTATGTTGTCAGTCACTCTGTCATAAGTAACATAGAACCTGATATAAATATGTTCATTAATTCAAGTTATTACAGAAATATAAATAGTAGAAAAGATTAGGTAGAGAATTGGAAAAAATGTATGAGATTTTGGGACTCATGTTCTGAAGGAAAGCAAGTCAGCCAGTCACAACGTAGAACTTGGTACGTATATACATTGGTTCAAATTACCATACTCCATTAGCATATAGAGATAAAACTGTTAGGCAGAATCCCAGAGCCGTAGAGATACTAATAGTATCAGTGATTATAAAAAAGGAGTAGGCATCGAAGATAAAACTCAAGAAAATATATTTTAGTGACATAATAGAAATTATGAGGAAGCCTAGGAACGCAAGAAGTAAATGCAACTACTTCATTGTGAACGATACTCAGTCAAGTCACCCATGT